TTTACTGGGGGAGTCAGCACAGGCTGCACCCCCAGGTCCTCAGGGCTGGCCTTTACTGGGGGAGTCAGCACAGGCTGCACCCCCAGGTCCTCAGGCGCTTTTAGAGAAAGCTCTTCCCCATGCTCAGGAAGGCTTATCATGCATCTGCATCTGCAGGGCTCATACCACTGCCTGCTGAGCAAGGAGGCTGGGAAGATAAGCAGTAGCACCTGCCTGAAGGGTGAAGACTGAAGGGAGAACCAGAGCACCTTCCCCTCTGGCTCTCCAGGCCACCAGTGGCTGGGAGTGGCGATGGCAGTGCCAGAGCAGCCTGAATGTCTGCTGTCGTACTCTGGCTGTTCCGGCTTGGGGTCCATTCATCCTCCCTCCTCACTTCCCACCAGAACCTGATTCAGTTGGTAGCTGATCCCCAAAGCGCTGACTCTGGGCCAACCACCTTGAGGCACAGTGATGTCGGTACCAGCACAAGATGACCAAAGGTTTAGCTACATTTGCTTTTGGAGTCTCTAAGGGGACAGACATGCCCGAGCTGTCTGGATGTGGTGGAGTCTCGCTCCGGTGGGAAGGCCCCTGGACAGAGTGAAGATCTGGGTGCAAGATCTCACAATGACTGGGATTCCAGCATGATCCCAAAGGAGAGGCCCCCTCTCAGAGAGGAGCGGATACACCCCAGGGTGTCAGGGTTCTAGAAGGCGCAGGTGGTATCTTGTGTCAGGACTTGGGAGAATGGTGTGTGTGCCCCTGATTATTGCTCACCGGAGGACTGTCTGGTTGGGAAGGCCCCTGAGTCTTCCCAGAGGCTTGGGGGTCAGCAGATGTGATTGGAATCCCTACTTCCCTGTTGCCCCACTCAGAGTGGTGCAGAGTCAGTGCTTCGCAGATCAGCTGCCAACCTGAGTCAGGTTCTGGGGGGAAGCGAGGAGGGAGGATGAAGGGATCCCAAGCCAGAGCAGCCAGTTTATGAACAGTGGACATGCGGGCTGCCCGGGCACTGCCGTGGCCACCGTCAGCCTCAAGGTACAAAAGGATTTGAGGCTGCTCTTGCCGCCTGTCATTATGTGACCCTAAGCAGTTTACTGATCCCCTCTGCATATTTCTGTCTTAAAACTGACGTGGCAATGTAAGGAACTCCTGGAATTTGTGTATGGATTAAATTCTGTTTAATTACACTAGCACAGTTCTAGGCCCATAAAGAAGAGACTCTTGCGAATATTGGTTTCATCTTTCTCTTTCACTTTTACCTAAAACGGCAAAGCAGGAGCTTATCTTCGCTTCTAAAAATAAAAAAAAAAAAGCTACAAGGACTGATAATCTCTGGAAGCAGTGAGGGAGCGAGTAGGGAAGGCTTGGGAGGGTTCACAACCCACGCAGTATTTTTCTGAGGATGCTGCTGGCTCATTTCCAGCTTGGCTCTTCTGCCCCTGGGTCACCCCAGTTCATTAATGAGAAGAGGGGCGGTGGTGGTGGCTGAGCTGCTGGGGTGCCTGGGGTTCAGCTATGGCTCCCCTCTGTGTTGGCACCCAGGTTGATGAGGACTCTGTTCAGCATCCAGCTGTGACCTGGAGTTTGGAGCCAGTG